TGAGCTTATGGAGTCGACAATTACCTCTATTTACTAATGTAAATAAGAAACTTGCCATATTCAGGTTTCAAAAGTTGGTAAACTACTATAACCAGACAAAAACAAAAGAATAGGAGTGCATACAGTAGAGTTATGCAGAGGAATGTTGTTGATATAAAGACAATTCATGGTCCCTGCCCCCCCCCCTCCCGGGCCAATGGGGTGGGGCAAAAACCACAAAAATTAATGCAATCTGTAAAATCTTTAAAAATCTTCTTTACTCCTGGACATCAAGCAGTCAAATTGTTGGCATGATTGTAATAAGAATTTAGCCCTCTACCAAAATTGTGAAATTCATGGCCCCAGGATTAGGGGTTCTGGTGCCAGGGTGGGGCTATGCTAAATATGTAGTGAAAATGCGTTATTTCTTAGAAAATCTTCTCCTCTCCTTCTGGGTATTCAGCAAACAAAGTAAATCAATAGTTAAGATAAGGAAGTGTTCTTCATCCAAAATTGTGAATTTCATGGCCCCTGGGTCAGGGCTTCTGGTGTTAGGGCGGGGCTCTTATGATTATATAAGTGTATTAATGCTCTGAACATCTTCTCCCTTGCTCCTGAGCATTAAGCCGATGTACTAAATATATAGTTATGAGGAGGAGGGGGGCCTCTTCTAAAATTGTGAATTTCATAGCCCCTGGGTCAGTGGTTCTGGTGTTAGGGCGGGACTCTATTGATCATACCGTATAATGAAAATGCGGGACTCTATTGATCATACAGTATAATGAAAATGCATTTTGAAAAAATCTTCTTCTCTCTGCTGTATATAAAGAAGATAAGCTAGTTGCTTGGTTATGATGATCAAGGGTGTCTCTTCCAAAATTGTGAAGTTTGTGGTCCCAGGGTGAGGGGTTCTGCGGGAAGGGGGGTTCTAATGATTATATAGTGAAAGTCTAATGATTATACAGTGTATAGTGAAAGTGCATTATTCCTTTGTCAAATTTCTTCTCTGCTCCTAGGTTTTTAGCAGATAAACCAAGTATAAAGTTATGATGAGGACAGGCCCCTCTTTAAAAATTTTGAATGTCTTGCTCCGTTGGTCAGGGGTTTTGGTGTTATGGTGGGGCTTTATTGATCATATAGTGAAAATGCATAAATTCTTTAAAAATCTTCCCTCCCCCTGTATATAAAGCAGATAAACTAAATGCGTGGTTATGATGATCAAGTGTGCCTCTTCCAAAATTGTGATATTTGTGGCCCCGGTGTGTGGGGTCCTGAGAAAGCAAGTTTGGGATGGGGGGTATTGATTATATAGTGAAAGTGCATTATTTCTTTGACAATCTTCTTCGCTGCTCTTAGGTATTCTCCAGATAACCCAAGTATATAGTTATGATGAGCAAAACGGCCCTTCCAAAACTGTGAATATTTTGGTACCTGGGTCAGGGATTCTGGTATTAGGGTGGGGCTCTATTGATCATATAGTGAAAATGCATAAATTCTTTAAAAATCTTCTTCTCTCCCCTTATATAAAAAAGATAAACTAGGTGCATGGTTATGATGATCAAGGGTGCCTCTTACAAGATTGTGAAATTTGTGGCCCCAGGGTGACGGGTTCTCCGGGAAGGGAGGGGGGCTCTATTGATTATATAGTGAAAGTGCATTATTTCTTTGACAATATTCGTCTCTGTCCCTAGGTATTTAGCAGATAAACCAAATATATAGCTTTTATGAGCAAGGGCAACTCTCTCAAAATTGTGAATATCTTGGCCTCTGGGTTAGGGGTTCTGGTCTTAGGGCGGGGCTCTTTTGATTATGTAGTGAGATTGCATTAATTCTTTGAAAATCTTCTCTGCTCCTAGGTATTTAGCAGATAAACTAAGTGCATGGTAATGCTAATCAAGGATGCCTCTTCCAAAATTGTGAAATTTGTGGTCCCAGGGTCAGGGGTTCATGTGGGGGGGGGGGGGATTTACTATATATTGGAAATGCATTTTTTTTAAATCTTCTTTTCTGCCCCTGGGTTTTTAACAGAAAAACTAATTGCAAAGGGAACCTTAAAAAATGAAATTCATAACCCCGGGGTTAGGGAGTTTTGTGTAAGGATAAGTACATATAGTAGTGTTGAATATACATAGTAGAAATGCATTATTTCATTGAAAATCTTCTTCTCTGCCCATTGTTATGTAGCAAACATACTAAGTGCGTGGTAATGATGAGCAAGAGACCCTCTTCCAAAATTGTGAATATCTTGTCCCCTGGATCAGGGGCCCTGGTATTAGGATGGAGTATGCAGCGTACATAAAGTTGTAATAAGCAAGGTTGTTTTTACCAGATTTCGTAATTCTATACCCTTTGGTCAATTTATTAATTTCTACTGAAAGAAGTTATTCCCCTTTTGCTATTCACCTATCATGTTTAATCACTGTTAATAATGTAACTTAAAAGGTCAATTAAATAATAGAATTATACAAGAAATTTTATAATATTTAATACAAAAGTACGTTCATAGTTTCACGGTTCAGATAAACCTTCATATAATAGATAAATGAAAATGGGACAAAGATACCATATCTTTGTACAAAAAATAATCTTTAAAGACCACGAGGGGCCAATGCAAGGGGGATAAAATGTGTTAGCTAATGGCGCTTTCTTTTGTCCGCATGAGGATAGTGACAAATGGGGGAAAGTACAGGCAAATAAATAGATCAACTTTAGGATTTGTTACTGAGTACTAAATTAATATTTTGCTGATCCCTGATTATCCTATTATTCTTGTTTTTGGTCAACATAGCTTTATTTATCGGCTTATTTTGTTTTGATTTATTGATCGTTACATTATACTTAGGTGACCGTTAAGACCATTGTACCTCTTGTTTTATATAACTGTTTTCTGTTTCATATTTAGATATTTTACTAGAAAAAGACTTTAATGGTAACTTAACAACAAAGCTTTATGATAAACTTGATAACTTCAACTTTTCAATCGTCAACTTCCCTTACTTATGTAGCAATATACCCTTATCACCTGCATAAGGGTTTATGTCTCTCAGTTGATTCGATACGCAAGAGCATGCACTACGTATAAACAATTTCTAAAACGAGGCAACCTATTGACAAACAGGTTGATGAAACACTGATATCAACAGTCTCGTTTGAAGTCAACATCTCCCAAGTATTATGGTCGAAACAATGATCTTGTCAGCACATACAACCTATCACTGAGTCAAACTCTTACTGACGTTTTTCATATTAATTGCTAGGCCATTATTTATACACTGAAATGTTTACGGATTTTTCCTCTTTTTTTTCTTTCACGATCATGACAAGGAGCATACGGCGGGTATGACCGGTCGGCAGGGGATGCTCACTCCTCTATGATCCCACCTCTAAATTTAGAAGTCCGTGTTTTCTCTGCTCCAAATTTGTATCGTTTTATTGGACTAATGTTCGTTATCTTCATATTTCATTCTATGCGAGCTTGGTAAACGTTACAATGCTTTTGACTGAATTGGTCAATTTTCTTTTGTGAAATATAAACCCTAATGATGGACAAATGTACGCACATGAAAATCGTGTCTGCCAAACATACTTTGCAAACTAGAACTTATGATAATGGCAATCAGTATGTAATTTGTGAGTGGGATCATGCGGTGTGTCTTTATAATCACTCTTTCGGAATGAACAATGCAGTGTGTTTCTGATTATTAATTGAAATACAGATTTTTCATTTTTTATTAAAGATTACAAGAAAAACAAAACTCCTCATTTGTTTTTATAATGATGTTCTAATTCTTGCACAGGACTCGAATGCATTTCCAATACTTCTGGCCAAACCGACAATAAGTCCAATAACATTTGAAAAAATGGTAAAATGTTAAAATTAAGAGGACATATATTACACGTGTGCTTTAACTAAGTTTGATAATGAAGGATGTGAAAATGTGTGTTTTCTCGTGCTTCCGTCCTATTACTCTGATTGTGGTCAAGGACGACCCCCACCCCCACCCCAGTATTGGTCAATTTCGTGCAAAATCTGCGTTGTGATCCTGGGTCTGTATTAAAAAAGCCCAACTATTCTAGCTCTTTTAACATTTTTGATATTTAAAGAGCTCTCTTAGAATATTTTCTATAATGTTTATTTAATTTTTTCGAACTAATAAAATGAAGAACATAACTTACGAACATATATTTTGTAAAAAGTAGTCCAAGGCTCAGGCTTATGAGCCCTGACGGTCACCTTATTATCATACAACAACGTTCTTGACACAATTTCACAAGCTATCTCCTTACAATTTTGATATTTTGGTTATATATATATATATATATATATATATATATATATATATATATATATATATATATATATATATATATATATATATATATATATAAATTAAAATAAAATCCAAGATAAACAAACAAGTTCACATTTAATTATTACACTAAGCGCTTTCGCCGTGAGGCTCTTCAGAGTGTAACAAAGTTTATAAAAACAATACAACTTGGTTGTTATGACGTCGTTATTGTTATATATATATATAGCTTGATATCTATAAATGATAGACGAAAAGATGAATTTAAACTTTATAAGGTAAAGGTACATTAACTTAATCTGGAACTGAATTTTAGACTCATGTTTAGGGCTTTCACCTCATCAACCTTACTATCAATTAAAGATTGCCCGTTGGATTGTCCATTTGTATGGAAGACTTCAAAAGAAATTCGTCAAAGCTGGAGTCTGAATTCTACATCAAAAAGGTATGAATTTTGACATTTTTGTTGCTTCTCTTACTTCTCTTAATCATCATAAAATCATATCTGCTAAAATATAGTGCTGACCAGATTTCAATAAACGTAGATTTTTAAGTTCACTTTTAACGAGTAGTATTGACTCAAATGCATTTGATTGAAGCTTAAAGCTAAAATGTATCTGAAGCGGTGACTTAAGTGTTTATTTATCTGAAACTGGGTCTGAGAAGAAAGAAACAAGAGGAAAGAGAGATTAAATAAAGAATGATGTTTAATTAACAAATATTTGATGTGGGGCAATCCCTGAGACTTTCAGAATTCAGGTAATCGTTGATACTCATAACAATAGTTTCGCAGTTTCCGATTATATTCCATGATATGTTGGCCCGATGTGTACTGAGTGTATCAGCAAGCCACTTTAACTCGCACGTACACGCGATTGCGTTGTTAGAAATGTCAACAGTGAGAGGAAAGTTGTGTTTCACGCGTGTCAAGTTTTCAATGGCGTATTTTAGAGCGCATGGTACCTCCTTCAAATGCGTATTCCTCAGTTCTAATCGCTCCAAATTTCCATTACTATCAAAAGCATGATTTGAAATATAGAGGATGGGATTATTGTTTAGTTTGATTTCTTTCACTGAATGCAAAATTTTGACATCTTTCACATCGATGCTATGTATACGGTTGTCTGATAAGTCCAGAGATTTTAGTGATGTAATATCCGCCAGGGCCTGTGGGATACGGGAAATGTTAGAATTGCGCATACTCAGGTTTTCAATTTGTCTGACAGAATTAGCGGCATGATCACTGACAAAGTCCAGAGTATTCAGATCCATGCTAACAGATTTTAAGTTTTCAAATGCAGAGAGGGCTGATGGGAACGTTTTTAAGCTGTCTTGTTGCAGAGAAATATTTGTTAAATATGGCATCCTACCACGAATCAATGGAACATTCATACCATAATCTCCAACATTGATATTGTGATCGAAATTAAATGTCTGCAAATATCGCAATTGAGCAACAGCTAGAGGTACCGAAGTGAGACCAGTAGTACCTAGACTTAAGGTTAACAAAGTCCCAGAAAATCCGTAAAAAGCATCCTGGGGCATAAACTGGAATGCTGCTTTTGTTACATTAAGATTTTGAAGCATCTGAAGGTGTTTGAGAGTAACAGGCCATTGTTGTATGTCGTAACTACCAAAGGTGAATGACTTCAGGGTTGCTCCAATTTTCCTCAAAACCTCTTCAGTAAAGTTTCTATCACCAATAGAATTCTCAGAAACATCAAGGGACTCTAGTACGTCAAGGTCATGAAGAGCAGATGGAAGCACAGTAAGAAAATTGTTGGAAAGATCCAACTTCTTCAGCATAGATTTCACAGGTAGGAAAGCGTGAGGAGCAATCGCTAAAATTGTCATGTTGTGTAGAACCAATTCGTCTGTACGCAGGTTAGCAAAGGGATTCCCAGTCCTGATTGCATTTCTGAAGTTACCGTTGACAATGGAAACTTTTTTGTAATGATACATAGTGCTGAAGGATGGCACGGCCGATTGTCCTGTACAGGTCACGACATCATTTTCACAGCTACAAGTGCCGTCATATGAAATGGGTGGGGTACACGATGCTCTTCTTCCAGGAACTACGCCAGGCTCTACTGCTCTGCATATCAGAGCAAAGCAGATCTACAAAATGGGAATATTTACCCTTACACAGAGAATGATAGTCACCATCTATTATTATGTTAGAAATATTGCGGAATTGAAAATTAAAAACTTTTAAAATCTTACAATGTAACAAAAAGAATCTCATGCGGATGAATGAATCTCTGCAACCAAAATAACACCACAATATAGTTTAATATCACATTTAGTGACAGTTATTTGTGTATCAGTTCTTACTGCTTCACTCTAGAATTTCCATGTAGCAAAGAATCGTAGATATGTTGTTAGGGAAGTGCAAAGTTATGTGTAGAATCGAACTTTAAAAAGCGTGTTTTCTTGCAATACAAGTTTACTCTCTTTTTCATATTCTGCGTGTGGGGGTGTGTGTGAGAGAGAGGGTGTGTGTGTGCATGTCGTTTTGTTATCTCCGTATCATTTGTAAATCATCATAAAAAATAAGGAATAAGACCTGGAGGAAAACCGGAAGTTTTCCTGCAAGAGTTAAGTATGTAACCTTTGTGCCGTTTCAGGGAATAGAGTGAAAAAAAAGATAATTAGTTTAGTGTTGTCTTGTTGCATTATTTTTATAAAAATCTCAAACTAGATATCTTTGTCTCTTAAAATCACTAATATAATTGCTTAAATAAAAATTTTGATTAAACAAGTAAATAAATAATTAATATACATACCAATATTGACGTCAGCATCTCAACAAAATACAAAACTCATAAAAAGAAATTAAAGTCAAATGCTTGAATTTAAGAGTTTTTAAAGCAGGTCAATATAGCCCTCCTCTATCAGGAAATATTGGTTAGTGGCCTGCACTCCCAGCAGGTAACATCTGATCTACACGTCACACATCGGCTTATCTTGGACTTTAGGTGCTGTCTGTCATATTACGGAATTACCATTTTTTTTGCTCTCACAGAATTACACTTAGAATATTGTTAAATTCGAAATACTGCATTGCAATTTCTTTCAATCCATAGTAGAATTACCTATTTTATAAATAAATTATTTTTATTATTTTAAATTGAATCATTTAACTCATCTATGAAAAAAAAGTGTTTTTGTTTTTGTTTTTTTTTTTTTTTGTTTGTTTTTTTTTTTTTTTTTTTTTTTTGAATTCTAAAAATACCAAACTCTTGTATTTTTAAAGAGTTCGAGATAAATCATTGCTAAATATGACATTGTTTTATTTTTTCTGAAAATATTTCGACAGAAAAATATTTGTAGTCACTAGCGAGTATTTTGTTTGTAACTTAATTAGTTCTATTTTATTTCAAATTGTAAATTAATGTTAGGTTTGATAAAGAGAATGCACAGAATAATGCCCAAATAGACAAAACTACATTACAATTTAAAAAAGAAAGAAAACCGTTTTATAAACTAACAAATTCTATAAACCGAACTACATTGTACATGCACTTTGAAGAGAGAGAGATAGTTTGGACATGTTACAAACTGATTACGTTTCATGAAAGATTCATACTAATATTTGTCATTGAATTTATTTTAGTCTTTAATAGTGGTTTAAGAACACTTAGCTCCTCCAGGACATGCGGGTAAATCATCATTGATGTATTCCTGGATGGCTTTCTCTATCGTATCGCACCGTCCCTCGATCTTTAATGATATTGAAGGCATGGTCGTAATGGCTACATGAAGCCACTGCAGTTCGCAGGTACACTGTATTTGATTGAACTGTAAATCTACCGTAATGTTACGGCTACTTCCGGCATGGAGATGAGCCAGCATCAACCCTTTTACTGCACATGGAACTTTTGTTAGGTTTGTTGATTTCAATTCTACTCTTTCTAACATCCTGTTGTTGGAAAGTGCGTTTGGTGACATGTATAAAATGGGGTTACTGTTCAAAAGGAGTGTCTTTAAGTGGACAAGTTGACGCAGGTCTTTGGTGTCTATACTGTGGATATTGTTGATGGAAAGATCTAATGACTCTAGGGCAGCAATCCGTTGGAAAGCTTCAGGAATTCTCGTCAAGCCGGAATCACGCAGGCTCAGAGACGACGTCTGGTTTACAGAAGCTGCAGATTCGTCACTCACAAACTTCAGATTATTTCTGTCTAAAACAACATTTTTAAGTTTCTCGAACACTCCTAAAATTTGAGGAAATTCGGTAATGTTGTCCGCTTGTAAGGACACATTATATAGATATGGTAATAAACCAGAGACAATTGGAGCTTGCATGCCTTGATTACCAACTTTATGGTTGTCATCAAAACGAAGCACCTCTAAGTACCTCAAACTTGCAACAGCCAGTGGGATAGATGACAATTGGCTATGTTGTATTGTTAATTCTTTTAATGTTCCTTGGAATCCATGGAAGGCATCGAATGGCATTAATGTAAAGACTGATTCAGTAACAGTCAACTTCTGCAGCGCCTGTAGATGATTAAGTGTAGATGGCCAGGACGTGAGCTCTGGTCCACCAAAGCGTAAATCTGTCAACGTATCGCCTATCCCCCTCATTACATTTTCATCAAAACTATTAGCAGATATTGGATTTCCAGATAGATCTAAAAGTTCCAAGTGGTTCAATTCCTTTATTGCCTGCGGAACTGATGTCAGCAAATTGTTCGACAAAACAAGTTCTTTCAGCGTGTCTTTCAAGTTGTTAAACGCGAGGGGGTCAATGTTTGAGTTGTTGAGATGGTTGTTGCTCAGGATTAGTCTGTCAGTTTGTATGTGGTTGAAATCAAAGGGAGTAATGGGTAGATAACTTTCTCTAATATCCACAACCCGACAACGACGATCTTGTCGCAAGCTTGGTGTGGAAATGAGGTTATGGCATTGAATTACTTCGTTTTCACAACCACAGAGAGTGCTGTCGGGGAAATTACTACAACATGACGAATAATCGATCTGTCCGAAGGTCTCACTGTGGAGGCAACAAACAAAAAACCATCGTAACACCTGGAATTTAAAGAAAAACGCACAATGTATCTGAGTAATAATAGTGCAATTAATTGAAAAAAAAAGTTTGTTATCAAAACATCTTTATTTAAAGCAATATGAGCTGCAACTCTGTTGTCGGAAATTTTTGTTGCAATATTGTATTTAACTATTTCAATGACAGAAAAAAGAAGCTTAAGAAAATTTTATTTTTTATATTTGCGATGGAAGAACTAATTTTAATCTTTGATTGAACCATTACATTATATTCCGTAATTTATTACATTATTGTCGTCCTGTACAATATTGATTTCTTATGCAATACATTCCACTGTACAAAATTTTTTCTTCTGAAACAATTTTATACCTTATTTTAGTCTAATTGATCATAAAGATTAAAGTTACATAATAGATTGATCATAAAATCACATTTTTAACAGCAAAATAAATTTCTCAAAAATGCAGCTCATATTGCTTTAACAAAGAATAAGTACTGTAACTATTTATTCTCTAGTGTATACTGAAAAGTACCATTCTTTTGTTGAAGTTACATGTAATTAAAATAGGATGCAAATACTAACAATGTGGTTATTAAATGTTGATTATAAAGATTGCCTTGAGAAAACCTTAATATTTACATTTACTTATGTAAGGACAAAAAACCCTGAAACTGTGAATAAGCTGATGCCTGTCATGTGACGTCACACGAACATCTCTGAGACGATTAATGCATGATGTCATTATCAATATTGGTGGTAGAAATAATTCTTACAGTTTAAAATGTCAGTATAGAAAATAAGTGTTTTTCAATTTAGGGATTAATGCGATTTTTTACAATAATTAATAGTCAACTGTTTGCAATAACCCGAATAAACCCAACATATGTAACTTCTTCAATGTAACGTCCCGCCAAAAATAAAGCAAAATACTTTCAAAATAGTCTTTTTTCTAACTTTAATCATCAAAATTTTATTTTTACAAAATGTACACAGCACAATATGTAAAAAGGTATCACTGTATTTTTAAACTTCTAATGGATTCATTTAAATCATTCCATATAATTAAATTTAGATTGTAGCTTTAAAATGGTATAAATACCTACTTTCATATCTAAATGTACTGTTTACCAATTGCAGTCTTTCGATTTGGAATTTGAAACCTGAAAGATAACGATATAAGGGGAATACAGAAACAAGGTTATTTATGGGAATATAGTGCAGTTGTCTTCTAATGTACAGAATAAACCGATAAACGGTGCCAATAAATGCTATAAAATACGTATTACTCAATACTTAATTAAGGTCTGGGTCAGAGCTAAAAAATGTGAATAATTTGTCAAATGTCTTTTTTAACAAGTGATGATAAGTGAGCGTTAAATATTTACACAAATAGACACAGGAGTAATAAGACACAAAAAATTCATTTGATAATGAAATTTAAAAAAAAATGAATTAGTTATAACCGTTAGAAAGTATGTTGCTATTTTGTTTAATGCCTTTTGAATATTTTTCTTTGACTAGTAATAGTAACACTTATAGTTAACATGTATAGTTTAATATCATCAGATGCATGTGTTTCTAAGGTAAAGACCTTTTTTTAACAAATCAGCTGCTCTTTCTATACGGAAGTATAAAGATAATTATGCCGGGTGCCTTCAAGTCTGATAAGGATAGTACCGTCGTCAGGGACGGGGTATAGGGCTCCTCTAAACAAAGACAGGTGTTTCATTTTTTATACCTTGTCAACCAAACTGAAGATGGTAAGTTTTTCTCCTTGTAGAAAATGTTCACAGTTAAACAAGTACTCGGTTTGATTTTTAAAGCCAAATTCATTAGATCGAGTCAATGAAAGAGTCAATAATAAGTTTAATAGATATATGTGGAATTCATTTTTTTTATAATTTGAAATTTTTTATCGTCTTTTTATACGTTCTTGCCATTCTGTACAATTTTATTAGAATACAAGGACAAAAAGTATAGAATCTGACACGAAGAGATTAAAAACAATTTTAAAAAAAAAAAAACTAAAGTGAATTCTAAACTTTAACCTTACACAACTGATAAGACAAAGATCAAAGGAAGGAAATAATTTATACAATATTCCTTTTTGAATATATTTCTAATAGCTTGTTAATCTGAAATTTATAACTTACATAACAAAAACGGTAATATTAAAAATTAGCAATATTATGTTTTCTAACCCCCCCCCCCCCCTTTTCAACCTGAAAAGGGGAGACAATGTGGGTATTTACCCAGTCTTCTCTTTTTTGTTTTTATCTAAATGTGATGTATAGATTATAAATAATTCGATTCTATATTTCTAGATTTGGTTCGTTGTGTTCAGTATCTGCCTCTGCTTCACTAACGCCGTTTGTCCCTCCGGTTGTTCTTGTCGTGTTCGTTATGTCGACTGTGTTGCCAGAGGACATACCCACATTCCGTCTTTCTCCGCCTCCAACGTCGCTGCTGAATATGATGTGTTAGATCTGAGACGAAACAGCATAATGAGTTTGAATAATGGAAGCTTTACTAATGCGCCATTTAAGATTGTTTATCTTTCAAATAACGCGCTTAATGATAGTCACATTTCCACTGGAGCTTTCCAAGGATTAAAAGATTCTGTTACGTATCTTGATCTGAGCCATAACAGTCTTCGCCATCTTCCCACGGCTTTGAAACAGTTAAACAAAATTGAAGACTTGGATGTATCCCATAATCCTATGCGATCGTCAGGTGACTTTAAAGATGACGTTATGAAGGCAATGGGGGACACTATTATTAGTTTTACTTTTGGAAGTGATCAGTTGTTTGGCTGGCCAAGCACTTTGAACCATTTTGTTCAACTCCAACGCCTGCATGTTGATGAAATGGGAAGATTTATGAAAGTCTTGCCCCCTGAGGCTTTCCATGGCTTTGAAACAACTCTTCTTTACCTAAAAATAGAACATACGCATTTGGTAGCTGTACCCATCGGAATAAGCAAATTAAGGAATCTCGAAGAACTTCATTTTGATGACAATCCTCAAGTGACTGATAGGGGTGTATTAATACAGTCTTTTCCCTTGAGCAGTCATAAATTAAGAACAGTCACTTTGAATGCTGATGGGCTGACAAAATTTCCTCCTGTATTGAAGTATTTGAGAGGACTGGTTAGTCTGAGTTTGGATAGAAATGTTCTTGATTTTCTCAGCGATGCCTCCATCAGTGGAAATGTAACCGTGGTTAACCTTACTCTGATCGACTGTGGCTTAGATAGAATCCCTGGAGCTCTGGCAGACTTAGACTTCTTAACAACGCTTGATCTATCAAAAAACGCCATTAGGACTATTGAACAAAATGATCTACGAAATCTTCCAAACCTTCAACATTTGAAAATTCAAAACGCGTCGTTGGAATACATATCGAACACTGCTCTTGAGAATTTGCATAACTTGGTGAGTTTGAATTTTGAAAATACGAAACTAACCCAGGTTCCACAAGCAGTTAATATGCTATATCCGTGTATTGCACAACTTCATCTGGATGGTAATAAGATCGACTGCATGTGTGAAACCCTTGTGTGGTTGGCCAATAAAACAGATGAATGTAGGATAAATGGATCGCCCATGACAATTACTGGAGAGTGTGACACGATTGATTCCAAGGTCAATGACTATGTCACCAATTACATTCCCAAGTGTCCCCAGTATAAGGAGGAACACCATATTGCACCGTACAATGGACATTAAACTCTTTTTTCTATCGGTCTGTAACACAAAATTGTATCAGTTTGTTAACTATATAACTTTTATCAAGATAAAACAATAATTATATTGTGAATTGTACTCTTTGTTATAAATATGTCTGCTTTAATCAATTGTGTTGTAAGTTTCATTGCAGATGTAAAGGAAAATATCGATAAACTATAAATATATTCCTTTGTAAAAAGTTGATTCCTTCACTGTAGTCCGGGTTCATGATTTCCATATTCTTTAATCTACGATACTTTTAGATAATATTATATATTTGACTATTTAGCCCTGTTTGCTTTGATGAAAAAATATTTAAGTTTTATCTTTAAATATTTTTATGTTATACTTCAAATTTCAATTGTTTTTGGCTCCATTCTACACAAGATGGAGATGCGTTTTTATCTTAATTATGCACTGCTGCTCTTCAGAGGCATTTCAGGATTATCATGAAAAATTATTTATGTTATCATTTATAATACAAAGATGTAAGAATAAAATTTTAACATGTTGAAATGCTTCCATTAATATAGCATTTTACTACATTTGTGATTTCTGTAGCTGGGCCATGCATCTCGAATCTTTATTATTATAGTATTAGGTATATTTTTGTGATGACCAAAAGATATTTCTTGAACTCGACTCAGAATCACATTTACAATGACAGGGACACTGCAGAAAGAGATGGTGGAATCATGTCCTGGCGAAGGCTCAAGAACTGTTGTTTGGAATATCTTGAAACTTCATTATGCTGTTTCATATTCTGATTATCTACAGCTACAACTCAGCAGAATCCTTTTAATCTAACATTCTTTTATAAACTATTTTTTTAAAGAACTGAAATGTTTCTATACAACGATGAAAAAAGATATCAATTTTACGTAATTATGATAGTTTTTATATTCATGATTGGTAATCTGCTTTGAAGTACTTGCTCCCCATTTGGCACGAATAACCATCTTAATGCAATTCAGAATGTTATGAACTAAGTTTTCAAAGAATTTCTCTTTGGAATTGAGCACTGTTCTTGAATGGTTTGAGTAAGGTCTGGTCTCCTTTGTTTGATTTATTTGGGTTTGAATCAGCACTTTCGAGGACAAAAGTGTAGAAACTAGATTCTATTTCAGAAACTCTCTTGTTCTTTTTTAATTATGACCTGCTACTATATAATACAGTATTATATTTCACAATACTTTTGTGGAGAATCCTAAACAAACACACATGGTACTAGCATCCTTCAGTTTCTTCTAATGAACACAAAAGAGTTTCTCAAACGCAGTGTATTTTCTACATTAACACGGCCGGGTAACAATGCTAAATGATAATCAGTCTGGTGAAATTCATTGGAATTTTGGTGTGAAATATGAGGAATTTGGTAAAAACGGCTAAAATGACATAATTAAGATATTTCTGCAGAATGGTATTCAATTAAAAGACGTTTTGTGAAAACTTAGTTCATAACGTGCCTAATTGCACCAAGGTTGTTATTCATACCAAAAAAGGACGAAGGGGTGGGGGCATATACAAATTTAAGACTACAATGCATATTATCAATCACGAAGATAGAAGAAACTTTACGAAAATTGCCAAATTCATTTTTTTTATTTTCTTTACGGATTCGCTTAGTAGCCATATATTTATTTCCAAAATGTGCAGTTAATTATAAATTAGTTCACAAAATCATGTTAAGTTTAAAAGATTCATGAGCTGTACATTTGTGTCATGGTCTCACCTCAAGTAGGTCTCAAATTCCATCGACACTTATTAATCAGATTTTGATGTTGAATTGTCAATGACATGAAGTTGCGCATTTGTCTTAAAGCGAAGTCAAAACCTCAAAGAAGACCTAAAGGTATATAATGAATTTGACTAAATGACATATTTCATAGTCAATATCATTTGGCATTGAAGATAGTGAAATACATTTCAAGCAAAAGATATCGACTCATGGATTAAAATTGATTCAGAATTTAGAAGGAATGCAGAACAGTAAGTGAACATCTTGTCATCCTTAGAAATACAGCTAGACTGAATAGGAACTTATCAACTTAAATGTTATGGGAATGTTTGAAAAAAATTAAGATAGTGGCCATATCATTTTAAATTTAGACCTCTTTAGTTGCAAAACAATTCAGGTATGCCTGTCAAAGTATGTTTTCTTTATCACGTTTCTTAAATCTCTGTTGTTCATTGGATTTATTGGAGCGTCATCATCCACACACTGGAAGAAAGGATATGGCGCTTTATCAGGTAGAAATATACACTTAGTTATATATTTTCAATTTGGATTAAATGGCAATTTTTACGTACTTATACCCATGAGTAATAATATGAAACTCTAATGAAGCTAAATATATTTCTTTTTTATAAACGTAAATTATTTAAAATTAATTCTTAATTTAATATCTATCTTTGCAGTTTCCTGTGGTTTTATTGACAATTCTATTTGGAATATCTGGAATAACTGCGCAGTGTCCAGGTGGCCTCGCTTTGCAATGTTCATGTCGGGATAGATATGTGGACTGTAGCCTTCGGAATCTTTCGTCTGTTCCGTCATTTCCTGCAGATATTAATTTTGCCATGTCATATGACTACCTCGACCTTTCCTATAATCGAATTTTGAATATCCAGTCTTACCAATTTAGAGGTACCCATTTCAAAGAAATTTACCTTCAAGGCAACAATTTGCAGAATATTTCTTTAGGGGCCTTTGAAGATGTAGAAAACACTCTTTTGCTGCTTGATTTGAGCAACAACAAACTCAGAAATTTGCCACCATCATTAGCGGATTTACATTCATTAGAAACGTTAGATATTACCCACAATCCTTTGACACGTGGTACAGATTATACAGAGAGCGTGATGCGCGCGCTTGGAGATACCCTTACTGACCTCAAAATCGGAAGTGAAACTCTTACATCATGGCCAACTTCACTGCACCATCTACCGATACTTAACAGACTTACAGTCGCCAGTCTTAGTCGTTTTATTCGAGACATTGGTGCTGAAAGTTTTCATGGATTTGAAACCACGCTTCAATATTTAAACATTAAAAACACTTATCTGCTAGCAGTGCCTATTGCAATCAGCAAACTAAAAAATTTGAAGGAGCTACACTTTGACCAAAACCCTTACGTGACAGACAGGGGGGTTTTGATACAGGCTTTCCCGTTAAATTCCCCTTACTTGCAGACTTTGTCATTAAATAGGGATTCTCTAACAGAATTTCCCAGAGTATTGAGATACCTTCCAGCATTGAAAAATTTCAGTCTGGATGATAAAAACTTGAGATATCTTAGTGATCTGAATATCGGGGATTTAAGAACTGTAACAAATTTAACTCTTAGGAACTGTTCGCTTTTGCGTGTTCCTGCAGCACTTTCTCAAATTCGGTATTTGAAAGTCCTAGATTTATCCCTCAATGGAATTGTAACTATTGACACAAATGACATGAAGGATCTTCGATACTTAGAAGCCTTCATTATACGGAATTCATCTTTAAAATACATTTCTGAGAATGCGTTTGGCAGAGTACCAAGGTTGAAGACTTTGGATTTCAGATCTACACATCTGACGTCAGTGCCTAAGGCAATCAACACAGTCTGGCCATGTTTAGAAAAAGTACTTCTTGATGAGAACAAAGTGGATTGTATGTGCGAGACACTCGTATGGCTTAGAGAAAAGAGAGACACGTGTGTTAGTGATGCATTTCCAATGAAAATTGAAGGTCATTGTGATACAATTCATGACACGATAGAGCATTACATAGAAGAATACATCCCAAGATGTCCCGAGTATAAAGAACTGCATAACATTCCACCATATAACCGTACAGCATAGCCAGCATTTGCTTCTTTAAAATAATTCTTTTATTCGGCTTATCAGATAAAAAAAAAGGCACAATAAAGATAAGAAAAGTAGGTATATTGAACAATAGTTTAAGGTAACGTTGTTAAATTTTTTTTCACTTCTGGAAATCAAACACTAATGAAATTATTTAAATAAAATTAATGTTATCAATCCTAAATCTTGTCAACTTTAGTAAATGTCTTATGAACCTAATTTTCTTTACGCACATGACAAGGTCTCTCTGATAAGATTTAGAGTGCTGTGAACTTCCTGGTTTCTTCGATTGGTCAGTTTTCCACCAATGACAAAATTGCACTTTTTAAAGAGGTCCTTCGATAAGCTTTTTCACAAAGCCATCAGTTCGTCCTACTTACAAGAGAGCTGTCTATTGGGACTTACACTTATCTTTCAACAGAAATCGTCAAGTATTTTGACATGTTACATTATCTACCGAAGTAATAACACCGCAAATGTGATATGTAAAACCTTCAAAATACATGTCAAACTAGAGAAGCTTTGAACACTGAGCTCACAAAATGATACACCCCACCCCTGCCTCTCATATGAATTATAATGGCAAAGTCCATGTTTTGCTATGAGAGACTCGAAGTAAGTGTCGGACGAAAAAGTAAAATAGGAGGTGCACAATGGTACTATGTAAAAAAGATTCTGTGAAAGTCTCAGTAAATTTCATTCAGTGGTATGAGGAGTTGCGGATAAGAGATGGGTACTCCAAAGTGTAACGGACAGACGGACATCCCCATCATTATACATCCCCGCTTGAAAAGTAGTTTATTCAGGGTTTTTTTTAGGTATCCCAACATCAAATGCAAGTCTTTCACCAAATAATGATGACATTTGCACTTTGTTTTCATCTAAACTGAATCGTTCATTTTCTTAAAACTCTAAATTGGTATTCAACTTGATTAAAGTAGTCAATAATTTAGCACCAGATTCAATACGCAAGTTTTGAGATTGTAGCTCTCCAATGATAGAGGCGCAAAAAGTATCTATATCAGCATGGGAATGGGACAGGTTGCCGACGTACACAAACGTGCATAAATAAATGGAGGTTGGCTAGGGCTTTTAAAATGTATTTAATGTTATGGAAAGATTATACATTAATACATAATGTCAAACAGTGATGATTTTGATGATTACATTGATCTTTACTTTACGTGTTTTACAAAATTTTACTTTTAATTAGGATATTTAAAATCAAAAGAACACTCCTATTTTTTGTGAAGAGACGCTTCCTTGATTACAAACCTTTTCTAAAATGTCGATATACCTTTTGAAATTATTATAAGGGAAAAAGTCGGTTTGTCATTCAGAATGCCGACATGTAATGATCAGATGCGCGTGTATGGACCAGGACCACTATTAGCTTACATATAGACTTATATAGTAAAAACACATGTTTTATTTTGTTTGTAATATTTTTATAAAGGAGTATACAATAAAAAACGGCATGTGCTTAAACAATCTGTCCACTACACATACATAATAAGAAAGGGGGGTGTTCATAGGCATTTTTCTTCTGTATTAATAAATTTGTGAAGTCATGTTCTTTAAATAGCTATGCACGATGAAAAGAAGTGTAAACAAGCCAAATTACTACCCAATTCAATACTCATCTAAGTGCATAGTTTATCCTTTAAAACCATGTTATTGCATATCATTGTAAACTTAAATCAATAAACAACCATTCTATGTTCATTAAATTTCATTTATTTGCCATTTGTCCTTCTTGTAGTCAATGAAAGTGAGACATGTCAATTTCCTACATGCACTTTATTTAAGGTGGTTGACCTTCACCCTTTTATTGTGGATCGGGTCCTATATAGGATCCATGTCTCTTCCCTCTTCTGATGTCTTATCCCGCGGCACTGATATTTTCTTTTTATTTCCGATTTTTGGGGGGGAAGAAAAACATTTAATGCCATTATACTAAAATTCGGTTATTTTCGAGTTGATGACAGGATCCCGGTATATCGATGATGTAACGTATCCAGTATAAATAACTGTCCCACCTACCGGTTTACGCAGAAACAAAACTCCCCTCCATAACGAAAGAGCGCACCAAGGGAGATAATCTCGAAACTTGCGTATTGAACCGATTTTTTGATTTGTGCTAATTATATTCTTTTCACGAGATCTTAAATCATTCTTTAACCTTGTCCTTGCCATCCATTCCTCTTAGTTATAGTCAAAAGTCCTTGTAAGTAATACCAGAACTTGGTATTACTTGAGGTATTGATCTACATTTGTCGACAGGTTGTCGTTTTCTCTGCATGTGTGGCCTCCAAGAATCTATAAATACTAAAATTAGCAATAATTACTCAAATATTTTAGCAACAATACTCACGACTACAAGAAGAAAAAGGATTTGGTACACTTTACCAAACTATCTATTATCGACTTTTTATCCTGCATCCTGATTTTATTTTAAGTCTGAATGTTTCAGCCTACATTTATATTCTAAGGACGTCTTCACTTTGATTTCTTTTTTTTCCCTGTTGTTGTATCGCTTCCTATGGTGGCTTTTGTCTGCTCCCTACATGCAAGATAATTTTTTTTAACATGCGAGAAAAGTATGTCAACATGCAAGATAATTATGTCTACATGCATAATAATTACGTTGACATGCAAATTACTAATCTTTTTAGAGAATCTAATTTTTAATGTTGGTAAACATAAACAATAAAATGCTTTCTTTGGTTGTTAGTACGGGAATTAATGTCGCAGCTGTTGCAGAAAAAATACATAACCCGCGTAAGCGGGTTATGTAAATTTTTTTCTGCAATAGCTGTGACATTAATTCCCGTACTAACAAACAAAGAAAGTCATTTTATTGTTTATATTTATATCTGTATAAAAAACATTCAAAGTAAAATTAAACATGTTAAATATTGTATTATAGATGTGTATGTCATTGTATGTATAATTGATGGAACAGCCGTTGCTCAAGAAATCTATGCAGGTGGCTTGCTTAGTGTTGTTTACTCACTGATAAACAGCAATGGGTTTCTTAAGAAATAAAGGAAATAATATTCAAAGGATGTAAATATATACTTACTAACGCCGTTATACGACGTCATACTAGCAAGATGCAACAGAATTATGTTGACATGCGACTTTTTTATGTCAACATGCGACTTATTTATGTCAACATGCGACTTACATTTTAACATGCAAGATATTTATGTCAACATGCAAGATAATAAGTTGCATGTCAACATAGATATCTCGCATGTTGACATAATTAACTCGCATGTTAACATAATTATTTTGCATGTTGACATAAATATAAGTCGCATGTCTACATAATTATGTTGCATGTTAAGATAATTTATCTTGCATGTAAGGGGCAGAAATATGCCACTATATAGCTTCATGTGCCTCAAATCTTGGAGCACCTGGGTACAGGGAGCATGCATTCATACAGACAGCATGACTTGATTTCAATATAAGAAATATTTTCCGAGTTGAAGGATAGTTTCGTTGAAGATAATCTTATTTTTTAAATGAATATTGTTAAATACGCTACGTTTTCCCTTTCTTCGTATGTACAGTACCTATATTTACATTTACTTGCTTTGAAACAGATTCTTGAATATCTTTAGAGATTTTTGCTGATTTAGTTGCACTTCGTTAAATTTTGTTTTTAAATGTTACTTTAAACAAATCTCTGTAAGACATTACTTGTAGATTACCTATTGTCTTACAAACTGCTTTTCGCCATACTTAAATACGGAAGCCGGTTGGTGCCAGGTAGAAAAAATATTTTATCTGGCGGCCGCCAGATAACTTTCTGGCGGCCGCCAAATAATTATCTGGCGGCCGCCACATAAATAACTGGCGGCCGCCAGAAACTTATCTGGCGGCCGCCAAATAATTTTCTGGCGGCCGCCAGATAAAAAGATCTGGCGGCCGCCAGATAACTTATCTGGCGGCCGCCAGAAAGTTATTTGGCGGCCGCCAAATAATTATCTGGCGGCCGCCAGATAAGTTATCTGGCGGCCGCCAGAAAGTTATCTGGCGGCCGCCAAATATTTATCTGGCGGCCGCCAGATAATTATTTGGCGGCCGCCAGATAATTTCTGGCGGCCGCCAGATAAGTTTCTGGCGGCCGCCAGATAACTTATCTGGCGGCCGCCAGATCTTTTTATCTGGCGGCCGCCAGAAAATTATATGGCGGCCGCCAGATAAGTTTCTGGCGGCCGCCAGATAGGTTTCTGGCGGCCGCCAGATAATTATTTGGCGGCCGCCAGATAAAATATTTTTCTACCTGGCACCTACCGGCTTCCGTACTTAAATGCGTGGGGTTATCAAAAAGTTTGTGGACAGCGTCATAAAATTAAAACCGCTTAAGGCACATCAATGAATTTTTAAACTATTAATTAGTATAATCTTGCCTTTGTATTTAATAAACTTTAAATCATAAATTTTATTTTTTAATAAATTGACAACGGTTTTGTAAGCAATGGTATGTTCATGCGGTGCAACCTCTAACATAATGTATTTTCCTACCTTTTACTGAGAAAAACTCTTTAGATATGAGCATTTGTCATCCAAAAATCCTGTTAATTCATTTATGTGGTAGGACACACTCGTTTCGTAACGTGCAATTTTTACCTCAATCTGTAAGTTCTTTAAAATTTTATCGTAAAATTTATATGGAACGTCCAAACAATTTAGGGGTTGAAAATGACGTCAGAAAGGGGAAGGTTTCTTTTTCCAGCATTCTATAAAGTTTCACCCCTGGAAAAAAAAGCAGAGACCACAGAAATGGTTAAACGGACTACAGAGAAATAAAATACATCCAGAGTACTTCCTTTCTAAATGCCAAAAAATATTCAGAGAGAGGAGAGATGCATAGTTAATGCTTATTTGTAGTCAGGATGTCCAAAGTCAGTCACATTGAATTTTACGTTGATCATGTGTGGTAGATATTAAACTCCAACCAGAAGATTATGCTGGCAAAATCAAGTGAGGAGCGTCCCTTATGTATAGATTCACTTACTTTATCGTATGCATTGAAATCAGCTGTCGATGACATTGTGAAATCATATGAACAAAACCGGTTCAAATCTTTATTTAACTACAGGGAATCTCATCAAAGAAAAGTGTTTTTAAAAATAGATGAAGCCGACATTGAGAAAAAATGACATTGTCGAATGTCAAAAAAAACTAAACGGCGACAGCGCCGGGTGATCATATATTGACTTTTTTATTTAATAACAATTTGGTAAATTATCAACGTATCAAGCTAAAATTTTTAACACTTCTTAAACTTTTGTTGGTTAATGCTCTTTATAAATTTTGTAAGCACAGACTACGAAGTATTAATTTTATCACAACAGTCTAAGACATTTTGATAACCCCTCGTACTTACATATTTTTAACTACAACCTTACATTGTCCGTCTTTCATCAAAGTTTTATAACCCTTGAAGAACATGGGTGAATAAGGATTGAGAAATGCCCACGGCCTTAAATTTATAAAAATGAAATTCAGTTTGTGAACTTCGGTTTTCTTGGTACGAAGTTCAAGTAATCAATGTGTATGAAATTTTGACCAACTGTATCTTTCTGCGAAAAATTCTCTCGTCAAATATTATTCTAAGCATTATTTTGTGTGTGCTTACAATTTCATAGATGAATTATGTTTAAAATGCAAGGATGTATGCAAATCAAATACAACCGAACTTCGCAATTTTGACAATATCATATCAGCCATGAAATTCTACCTAAAAAAATTAAGGATAAAAGATTAAATTCTGTGTTTATCCTCAAAATTTCGGCTTTGTGTAGTTAGCATAAAGCTTCAATGCAGCTGTTTATCATTATTGCAAGCAAAGTCTTTTTGTGTCCATTTTATTTCCAGAAATCCGTGACTGTCTGCTACCGAATTCGCCCGTTGTCTTGCATGAATTAATGAATATGAAGTGACCCCAGATATTTCTAGGCCTATAGCAGTTTGGAGGTTCGCTTTCATGGTGGCATCCACCATGAAAATAAAATCATTTTCGCCATACTTGGCAAAAATTCCTGATTAAAAAATACTACAAATTCTAATGAACAGAACAAATAAAATGTATTCATATATTGAAATATTTACAAAGCTCGTATATGAATAGTGCATATTTTGGAGGGTAATAGATGAAAATTGACACCCCGTGAAAAAATAAGTTTAAAATGGTTTTCCAATCGTTGTTAATTTCGGCCGTTCCTTTTCAAAACATGTACTATTTATTTTATTACACTCATTATTTTGTAATGCTGAAGGTCTGATTGATACCTAAAAAAATAGGAAAGTGTCATTTAGTTCTCTTTAGAAAGGCTTTCGAACTCATCGCTTCCATTTTTCAAATTAAAGAAGAAAACTTCGAAAAAGATCGACAGACCTCTAAATTGTGTGTTTGGTACTCAGAAAGTCTTATTCTGCACTTAAAACATTTTTCTTCTGTTGGTAATTTTTAAAACTAATCTCATCATTTATTTTGTTATTCAGTCATTAATTATTTAATCATATTAACAACGCATTAATGTATTACAATTTACAATGCATAACTGTGACTTACATTTTAAATAGTACTTTCGTATTTTTATTCACTGAATTTTATAAGATAATGTTATACAAAGAAAGTAAATCACTATACATGTAGTTGATTCTAGTTTTAAAGGAATAATCTTGATGTACAGAAAAGAGGGGAAAGGTATTAATACAAGAAATATTTATTCAATAGTTTTATATCATAAACAAGAAGAGGTATCTCTGTTTGTATATTTTATATATGTGAGTTTCTATTTAAATGAAAAAGTCTAAGATAACGAACAGCAGTAAAAAAATATAAACAATACAAATAAAGAGGGCATAAAACACGGGCCCCTGGAAATTTCAGAGGTTGGATCAGGTGCATAGGAGGAGAAAGCATCCCATATTGCCTTGGCACACCCGCCTTGAGCCCATGTATTGATCAGGTAGGCGGGACATTCATTAGTCATATTCAGTATAAAAACAAAGACCGAACAGTTGGTATGAAACACGTCAGACCAAATAAGACCCAATGATAGGTTATATTTGCTAACAAAGTTATTATAACGACCATATAATTTTCTATAATGTATAATTTAGACGGTAAACGAAGTTCTTGACATCCCTATAACATGAACTTATCGGAGCATGCTCTTGAACATCGGATAAGCTGGGTAATGAAAACACCACATGCAGGTGATAGCAGGATATTACTACGTAAATAAGGAAAGTTGACGATGGAAAAGCTGAATCTCGTTTGTCATACAATTTAGTTGTTAGTTGGCCATTACCGTCAGTAAAACATAAACATCCAAATATGAAACAGATAGGGCAGACTGTGTAGTCTCTTTTATTTCAAGTTCACTAGGATATATCGAGTCGACATATGAATGGAAGTAATAATTGTTATTTGATGATACGTCGTCGATATATCTGAAGGTCGAGTTAAAGGCTACAGCAAGTGTTTTTTTTTTATTTTTATTTTCTTCTCATGTAAAAGTTTTTAAATAAATCCTGCTTCAAAGGAATATAAAAACAGGTCGGCTGATAAAGGAGCACAATTTGTGCCCATCGAAAAGCTAAACGTCTATACTATTAATAACTAAAGCACGTTTATTTTTTAGATAGGGCCATTTTTGATAGTTCGTGGCCCTTGCTCTTTGTTTTCATTTTTCAAGAATCCCAACGAGGAAAGTGCTTCAAAAGTGTTCACTTAAATTGACAATTATCACTATTTAAATGACGTGTTCAGTCGTAGGAGAGCACTCGAAGCTTATTTTAGTTTTGCTGCTTAGTTAAGATTTATATTTTTTCTCAAAATACTTGAACACCGTAATTAAGTTCTCAAGTAAACAGCACACTTTGGTCGATAACTCATAGAAATATTATTAATGCAAATATTTTGAGAGCATTTGAGTGTTGCCAATTGTTACTGTGTTCTTTTTCTGTGTCAATGTTTTTAAAAAATACTAGATGTACAGTCAGATGATCTCCATACGACTATATAAATCTCCTTTTCTATTTGACAGGTTTAGCTGGCAGAATGAAGTTTCTCAGACTTTATGTAGTTTTTCTCTTCTTTACTTACTCGGGAGCTTTGTCGTTGTTAACCGATAACGAAGACAGCAATTCTACAACATTAACAGGGAGAGAAAATTTAAATAATCTAAATGTACTATGGCAGATGATTAATCAAGAAACTGTTATTCGCTTAGCCTTGGTCAAAAATGTTCACGTTTTAATGAATGATGTTGATTCTATTAAACGAAACATTGCGTCATCAGACACCACCGTCTCCAATTTACAGCAGATGATAGAAACATTGAAAACCCAGGTGTACACTTTACAGCAGGAAAACAAAAAGCTTGCCGACGATAATAAGGAACTTCGGAAACAGACTCAGGAATTTCAAGAACATTTTACAAAAGTTGACGAAAACATAACAGTTATTTATGAACACCAACAGGTCACGGAAATAAAGAATGAAGAGAAACGTCAGGCTTTATTCAACCAAACTACTCACGTTCTGGAAGATATCAAAATTGAAGTAAGATATCTATCTGTGACGCTTTTGGATTTCAAGGAAAAGACTGAAAAGGATGATAAAATTGAAGAAGAGAACATACAAAAAATCAAAAGTCACCTGAATTCAACACTTGATTATGTAAATGCTATATTTTGGAGAACGGAAGGATTGCTCGGGAACTTTTCTGCGTCAATAAAAGACATAGAATACTCTCAGTCTGAAATCAGCAGAACTCAAATGGGTAAAATTTAAGTATCTATTTAGGCATATATCAGTAGTCGCAATTGGATTCAGATAAATATGAATTTATTATTTCAGTACATATATGCACTTGATGCAATTGCAGAAAACTTCACCAACACAGTTTTCATGTTCGAAGAACGGACAAAGAAAACAGAATATGAACAACTCAAACTGTCGTCTGCTGTATCCTCATTAGAGGTGTTCCGAATAAATGTCTCAAAATCAAACTGTGGTAAGAATTTGTGTTTTACCTCTCATATTGCTCTTGGTGTAAGTCCAAATTCAACTTTTCAAATGCTTACTCAGTCAATATTGCTTATGGTTCAGCATTCCTCTGGTCGCTCATTAATAAATAAAGTTTGTTATAGTGCTAACGATTTTTCAAAATAAATTGAAATGTAAATGATTTTAGCGTAAAGTGTCGCAAAATTGACAGAAGTCGCCTTATAATATTACAATTTTTAAAAGGAATAATACTTATTAAGCCCAGTGGTGGATGGCAGATGGTCAGTGAACATTACTGTCCTGCTCTCGTTCTCTTTATATCTAATTGATACATCTAATTGTTTGAACAATGTTTGAAAATTATTAGAAATACCTTAGTTTGCAGGAGTATAATGAATGTAAATTGTAATGCATTTCAAGCATTATTTGATTCGTAAAATCCATTCCTTTGAAAGAAATGAAACCTCATCACAAATTAAAAGAATTTGTATGTACATATACGGCACCTACATATATCTGATAAACCATGTGTAATTATAATTAATCTTTTCAGATAAGATTTCGAAGATAGCATTTTCCGCTGGAATAACATCAAACAATAATGGATGGACAGGGGATACGCTAATTTTCCCTGATGTAATCTATAACGAGGGAAGGGGCTACAACTCTAACACTGGAGTCTTTACTGCCAACACTGGGGGAACCTACGTGTTCTATATCTCTATTCAGTCTGCTTATCAAAAGTATAATTATTTTGACATAGTATTAAATGGATCTTCTAAGGTCAGGGCTCTGGCTTGGTACAATAGCGGGTTTGCCGTTAAAATTCATCAGACTGGAACAAACCTTGTCATTCTCCCTCTTCGTAGTGGTGACAGAGTGTGGGTCAAACGAGCAGCTGGAACTGGATACTATAGTGATAGTGCTCGCATTACTACATTTTCTGGATTTAGATTATTTTAGTACCTAGTATTTAGATTCATTGTCTTACATAATTCATAAATTAATTGTTTCATTGAACAAAGTTTTGAAATCATTTTAATTTTCTATATTAGTGGATTGTAGAAACTTTATATTGATTCCTTATCCGTGTTTCATTGTTGTGAATAATTATGCCTAAGAACAATAAAAAGCAATTAAAATACTGTAATCGTAATTTGAACAGTAAAAGCAAATAGGATAACATTTATGTGGTAATCCAACTTCTACCCATAGCTCTCTTTCTGAGGAGGGAATTCTTCAAAACCATATGTCAGTTTTAAATATTTTTGATATTCTCAACATTCAAAATAAATTTGAATTCCTATTCCAAAACTCCATAAAAACCCTTACAATCAAAGATACGTACCGGGTCCCAGTAAATGTTCTACCAGAGCCTCTTTCTTTATTCCTTACTAAAATATTTACAACAGAGAAGGAGAAACTTTAGTAGTTCTGTACAAAAGTATATTCAGATGTGGATACCTAAAAACTACAAGAAACCCTTAAATTTTTTTTAAAATCGAAATCACCAAATTTTAACAAAATCAATAACATCAAAACGTACGACTTTTCAGCAGTTTATACAACCATTCCCCACGATAAATCAAAGTCCGGGCTTTTTGACATCATAGAGAGCTACTTTTTCAATATAAATGAAACTCGTGAATATACTTACTTCATTTGCAAAATAATTTTGTGAAAAGCATTGTGATTGTACACACAAATACTCTGAAGTTGACATTAAAAAAGATGCTTGAGTTTCTGACTGACAATATCTATAAAGTTTTTGGGGATCAGGTCTTTCAAGAATCTGTTGGAATTCTCATGGATACTAATTGCGCCCCTTGATAGCAGACATATTTTTGTTTTAATATGAAACAGAATTTATTCAAAAACTTCTACATGAGAAGAAGAAAACAGTTGCTGTGGTTTTCAACTCGCCATTTAGATATATCGATGACGTATTATCAATTAACAATAGTTAATTCAATTCATATATCGACTCGATATATCACAGTGAGCTTGAAATAAAAGATACCATAGATTCTGACACATCTGTTTCATATTTGGATATCTTACCAGAAAAAGACTTTAATTGAAACCTAACAACAAAGCTTTATGATAATCGTGATGACTTCAACTTTTCAATCGTCATGTACGTCTCGTATACACTTATCACCTGCATATGGGGTTTTGTCTCATAGTTGATTCGATACGCAAGAGCATACTCTATGTATGAACAATTTCTAAAACGAGGCAAGCTTTTAACAGACAAGTTGATGAAACAAGGATATCAACAATCTCCATTAAAGTCATCCTTTTGCAAGTTTTGGGGTCGATATAATAACCTTGTCAGCAAATACAAACTATCATTAGGTCAAATGCTGACTAGCGTTTTTCATATTGTTAGGCTGTTATTTACACACTGTATTTCTTACGTGTTTTTCGTTTTTCTCGATCATGACAAGGAGCACACGGCGGGTGTGACCGATCGACAGGAGATGCTCACTCCTCCATATCAATTACTTTAGTTTTATTTCCAAAAACTTGGAAGAACAAAAAACATTAATATTTTTGAAGCAGCAATATTATCAAATATGACCTTTCCTATTGCCTTTGGCAATGTGTTTATGCTGTATTCATTATTAATTATTGAATAACCACAAGCGCATGCGGCCAAAAAGTTCTGGTCATTATTAAACACTTTTTCTTAATATTGAACTTGAAAATAAAGTAGACTCCATGACCTGGTATTAAATGAATTGGCTTGTGAAATTGCAATGTTCTTGAATTTTGCTGAAAACGGATGTTTTGAGTACCTTCAGCAAAGAAAAACAAAATGATAGCCCACCCTGGATCCAGAAAATAAAACATGTTTTATAGTTCCATTTTCCGTTATTTCCCTATCATGACAAGGAGCACACGGCGGGTGTGACCGGTCGGTTGGGGATGCTCACTCCTCCATGGCACCTGACCCCACCTCTGATGTTTTGGAGGTCCGTGTTTGCTCTGTTCCTATTTTGTAATGTTAAATGGACTTTTGAGCTTGAATTCTGTTCGTTATTTACATATATTTCATTCCAAAAAACTATTTCGTTATGTAATAATTATAATTTTTGCTTATTTTGGATAAGAGGTAGGCCTCCTTACAAAATAAACAGATCTATACAAAATATTTCAAAATATATCTTCCCAAAAAATAATCTTTAGTTCCTCGGGCAAAGAATTTCAAAATTCAAAGCGGCAGACAGGGTTTTTAGCTCACCTGAGCCAAACGCGTTGTTGTCGTTGTCGTCGTCGTAAACTTTTCACATTTTCATCTTCTTCTCCAAAACAACTGGCTAATTTCAATGAAACTTGGCACAGAGTATTCTTGGATAAAAGAGATTCTCAAGTTTGTTCAAATGAAGGACCACATTCTCTTCTAAGAGAGAAAATTGAGAAATAGTGAAAATTGGGTTGGGTTATTTGAAAATCTCATTCTCAAGAACCACTGGACCGGAAAAAATGAAACTTATGTGAAAGCTTTCTAACAAAGAGTAGATTTGAATTTGTTCTAATCATGAGCCTCGGGGGAAACAATCTGTAAAATTCCTCTTTTCAAGAACAGAAATGCCACAATTAATCGTTTTTATTTGGAAGCATCCTCAGGTAGTGTAGATTCAATTTTGTTCAAACCAAAAACCGAGGCCCAGTGTCACGGCAGGCGTTGGCACGATAAAGATCCCTCACTGGTCAATGGCCGTGAGTGCCGAATAAAGATCCAAATTTAAAGCCCTTCACCGGTATATGAGGACGTCTCTATATGAGTGAAAAATTCTCGAATGGGACGTAAAAAGACATACAATCAATCAATTCTTATATGTTGAGGACATCAACCAAATCAGGAATAAAATCATATATCAGAAAAAAGTAGTGGTGAATATAAAGTTTTTAATAGTTTTGAAACGTCATATATCAGAATTATATACACATACTACAATCACTATTAAACGTAAACATTCTTTTTAAAACTTATGTAAATAAAATTTGATTTGCAAAATAATATTCATTTAAGATAGACTTCATACACTGACATAGGATTTATGAAAATGGAAGAGTATCAGTTCTTCTACCAGTCCATCATAAGCTTTATTTAGTAACAAATCAAAATAATAGAATTTAAAATGAGATAAAATCCAAACTTCCTAATAAGTCTTATTTTATTTTTGTCTTCCTTCTTCAGAACTTTACATAAGTTAGATGGTATAGTCATCATAAGTAAAAAAAAAATGCGGCACACGATACAGATAACAGATATAGATACATCGGATAAAAAAAAAACTTAATTTGCTGTCAAACTAATACAGGGCATAGTACAAAAGTAGTATTATTCAGATAATAAAAAAAATCAACAACTTTTAAAATTTTCAAGCCATGTTTTACACTTAGTCGCATGCTATATAGCAGCCCCGCTTAAAATCAAGACTCTTGAGTTCCCGAGCAAATTTTCTGGAATAATGTCACATCCTGATTTCTGAGACGTACGTTTTATGTCCGGTAGATATAAATGTAAATTCTGCTCCAGACAAATTTTTCCCTAAAGATGAAGCTCCCGCGTCTAGATTGCATATGAAGAAGTTTATTTCAATTTCAATTTGTGGATTGAGTTATGTCACGCAAATAAGAGATTGAACAAAATATTAATATGAGAAAGGGTTTTTTAACTATATCTCTACCAATAATTTTGGAATAAATATAGCATGTTATGTAAAATCTCCAATTTATTGACATAATTTATTAAAGTTAAAGTTTACAAACATTCTGTTGAAATTATTTACGATTGAACATTCTAGTAAAATAGCTGTGCGAGATTCAAAATCCGGCTATGTATAAATAATATATTTGTGTTTGTGATTCTAATTGTTTTTGTATACCTTGATATTTACATCAAAATATCGCTCTGAGAGAGGCTACATTCGTGATCATTTTCAGCCATCTTACGTGCATGCTTTTTCTTTTTCTTTTTAATTTTTCTTTGGTTTTCCTCAGCCATATTTTTGTCGTCAATATCCGATCTCTCCTTTTTCACCTCTTTCATATCACATGGATTGGACTTGATGACTTTAAACAAATAATTCCCCGATGACTGCTTATATTCATAACCTACTGCATCATCAGTTTGGGACATTTCAAGCTTCTGATTGATATCTTTGTAAGGCGTAAGTGTCTCTCTGATATCTTTGTAAGCAATATCATCGTCATATTTGGAATGTTTTCGCTTTTTATTTTTCTTCTTTTGTTTGGTTTTAATGTGGTCGACGGGGTCCATATTTGTAAGATTCTGACTATCTTGATTTAGTAAGTCAGTCGATATTGATCCGTATACCCCTGTGTCAGCATCTTGTGTTTGTGATATGTTTTTTGATATCTTTTTATTTCCTTCCAAATTGTCTGATTGATGCTGTTTTCTTTTATTTCGTCTAGCATGCTTCTTTTTCTTCTTGTGTCGAGATCCAGACTCGTTTTCTATATAAAATACACCATTTTGGCGTGGAGTAACACTTGTGTACACGTCATCATTGTTGGTGTCTTTTGATAGTTCCTCTTGCCTATCACCGCCATTCAGTGTTTCTCCTTTTCTACATTTCGCCTCAGTCTCAAAACGATTTTGATTTTCATCGATTTTCTCGAGTGTGCACTTTTCTTTCTCTGGCCAATTGCTTTTCTTGATTTCAGTTTTATTCTGCGGACTAATTTTGCGGGTTTTCTGAATGAACATGAACAAAAAATCATGATAAAAAGCGACTAAATATATAGAGGATATTCAATGTTTGAAAGTTGGTTGTTGAATTAATTGTGTGGGACCGGAATTTTTTAGTGTTTTCACGATTTTAAAGCATAAGTGAATATTTTTTTTAATAAACTGTCTCACAAGTAATTAATATTCTATCTACATACAACATATTTATTTTTTTATTTCTCACAACTTCTTTAGTTTTAATTTTGCCCCATTAAAGTTAAAAGGAGAGTTGTCGTCACCAACTTAAAAATTACAGCAATTTTTCACTGTGAAAATAAACTTTAAAACTATCTTTTTTAACGGATAATTTACAGGATTTAACTATCGAAAATGGAACTCCTGAAGCGTTAACTGTGTCTCAATGCTTTCTTTCAATCACAAAGAACAGGCAAGTAAGCTTATACTTTAACAGTCCTCTTGCACCGAAATGTACTTTACCTTTTTTGAAAACCAATAACACACTATCAATATCATCAGATAAGTTGCCAAGCCAGCCGAAGCAATACCCA